TTAAGTTCTTGAAAGCACTTGACATTCTGAGATTCCACATCACCCTGAGAAAAATTACACAAGTAGCAATAAAGGAATGGGAAAATTTCATATTCTAAATACTCAATGAAATTAACATTATCTGGAATGAAAGTCTTTTAATCCAAAAGCATCATTTCTACATCTAGGTTAAATTCCAAAAGAAAACACAAATTTCAGGGGTATTTTTGAATCATACAACTGAGGAAATATCGAATGAATTATATATTCATTTCATATTCATTAAAATAGAAGTAGAATACCTAAATATTTTTGCATAATTGTGCAAAATGTGCTGTGATGAAATATGAATAGCATTTAACTGACAGGCATTTCTATATAAATCATTTATATAAATCATGTTTATAAAATATGAAATGCAAATTTTAATGTTAGGGATAACTTTTGATGACAAAAAAGCACTTCTAACTGTATTACCAGTTTTTCTACCATATGCCTTCACACCTCCCTTTTCCTCTACATACAGATAGATTCCAATTTCAGTTCCTGAAAGATGTTTGTTTCACATACTTTCATTATGTGTGAAAAGAACCGTGGTGCTTTTTTTTTTTTTAAAGATTTATTTATTTGTGCATACAGAACAAGGGTGCAGGCCAGAGGCTCAGGGGCGGTGAGAGGCTTCATCAGAGACAGAGCGGGGAACAGAAATGCAGATCCAGGAAGCACTCTGCTGAGGGGAGCAGCGGGCGGGTCAGGAGAGGTCTGCCACGCCATGTGGTCACCTCCGGGGCAGGCGGGGATCGAACTCATGCGGAAGCGGCTTTAGATTCTCAGTGCTGTGCTTTAACCCGATGCGCCACCAGGGAGGGCCCTGAACTGTGGTACTTCTTTTAACTAAAACATTCATGTTCCACATTGACACACATTTTTTTATGGTTTCATGTAATATGTCATCTAACCTACACTTTTACCTCTGACTCATAATTTCCATAGATACTTGACATATAAATTTAGAGGAAACCATAATATAGGAAAAGCAAAAATAAACTGATCTGTTGCTTCTCGAGCTAAAGACAATTATAAATGCCATTACCAGCTGTATTTTTACTCAATTTACTCAAATATAGCTCTTACTCTGTGTTGTATAACACAAAATCCAGTTCCTAATTTCAAAATGATGAAAATGATGTAAAATTATTTCAAAATAATGCACATATTTTCTAAATGATATCGCAAATAATTATATTATCTACACTATCATTTATTTCTTTTGGAGAAGGTGTAGTAGAATGGGAAGTAGATCTGCAATAAAGGTGACTGAATTTGAACTTTGAAACTGTTACTTTAATTTTGGAGGTGCAGAGAAACTAAATGACCTCCCTATGACACACAGAAAATAGAATTAGCTATCAAATATCATTGCCAATAATCTCAAGTCATAGACCTATTATACTTTCACCACTTATATATGGTTGGTAGAATGAAAATTAATAGCCAATATCATATAGTCATATATTACATGTTTTATGCACACTACAGCACACTATAAAATATTAATTGCATGCATTCAGAATATGGAATTATTCAAACATATAGCAAAGTATGAGACAGAAAAGCTAAAAAAAATTATGTTATATTGCTATGGTAAAACGGAATATCTTACAGTACTCTAATTATAAAAAAATCAACAGAGCCCCTTAAGATGGCAGCAGAGAGAAGAATTGGGCTCACTTTTCAACATATTTACAACCAAGTTACACCAATATAAATACAATGACTAGAGGGACTAAATGCCTACTTTTATTCATCAAGGATGAAAAAGTAGCAAGAGGTAGGAAAATCATTAAATTAAACTGAGTTTGGGCCCTCACTGGTGGCACAATGGGTTAAATCTCAGCACTACAATGCTATCAGCAGCCACTGCAGCATGAGTTAGATTCCCCAGCCAGGGAGCTCACGCACATGGTGCAGCAGACCTCTCCTGTATGGCCCGCTGATCCTCTCAGCAGTGTATTTCAGTACATCTGCCTGTTCTGCTTCCCACTCTGTCTTGTGTGAATCTTTTCACCCTCTGTGCCCCTGGCCTGTACTTCAGTTCTTATATGCATAAAAAACAAATCTTTAAAAAAATAAAAAACTGAGTTTGGACTGGCAATGGGAAAGTATAACCTGTGAGAGGGAGTATCTCTCTATTGCTAATTCATTGGGACTTGAAAGCTCAGGGATCATACTGGCAAAGGGGTACACAGAGTAGGCATGTAGGATAGAACATGAGCCATTGGAGAACTATGGACGTACAGGTACAGAGTGGTGATATCAGCTTGAGAAAGTGGCTTCCAAATGAAAATATTAGTAGCCCAAACTGTTAGGATGGGTCACATTGGATCACATGTTTCTCCCTGTAGAAGAGGCTATTATTTGGAAGCTGTGGTTGTCTTATGAGTAATGTATGCCTTACCCCTACCTAGGGCCAAAGGTGAGATAACAATTAAGCAGAATACTATTATTCAATAGGGAAGCATCTGTTTCTTTTTTTTTTTTTAATTTATGTATCTATCTGCAGCAACATGGGTGGACCTGGAAGGGACTGTGCTCAGTAAAATAAGTCAGAAGGAAAAAGAAAAGTATTGAGTGGTTTCACTTATAGGAGGAATATAAAAGAACCAAATAAGACAGGGGTGGGGGGAAGAAAACAACAATACAATACAAAATACAAGACAAAGAAGAAGTACCTGTTTCTTAACTGTAGGAACAAGCACACCAGTATAATATTGTTACCAAAATGGCAAAGAAAACAATCCCTGGCTTGTGAACCTGTCCCTACACTGGGCTACATCTTACTATTCAACCACAGCCTAAAGGTTGAATTTGGCACAAGATTGCTCTAGACATTTATTTGGGGAATTGGTCTAAGGAAGCATGTCATCATGGATGCCCAGTACAAAAATTTGTGTTTCCATGACAATTAGGGGAAGCTTGGTGGCAATGGAGGTGAACATTCTGTGTGCTACTGCTCTGATTCCTACTACTGCCCTTTATTGGCACCATGGTGCAGTCATCTGAACAGTTGCAGATGCTTTTGCCCATGAGACAATAAACCTAAATATCTTGAGTGAAAGAATTGGGATTACAACCTGCTTTTTGTAAAAGTAGTAGAAAGTCAATTTATCAACAAAAGAAAAGCTTCCTATTATGACCCATACAAGTTGAAAAGGAGACACAATTATATTCCACAAATGCTGGAGAATTCTCAATATATTATAACTGTGGGATCTGCCTGATTTGGAGTTTAGGATAGAAGTTAGAACCATATTTATCTAATTACATACAACATGTGGTGTAAAAGTTACCATAAAATTTAAAACTTGGAGTCATAGCCCAACTACACTACTAGTTTACTGAATACATATGGTGGTTTATAGCAATATTTATGGTGGGAGTTTAATTGCAATGATCTAATAGTAATTTCTTACATAAATATAATGCGTTAGAAATTGTAAAATGAATTCCTATATTATTTTGCTATTCTTTGTCTCAATTTCCACTTCTGCAAAATTTGGAGAAAATAATGAAAGTTGTACATAGATGTTTTGTATAATAAACATATATAGCATATGAAGAATAGCTTCTACAGCAGAACAAACGTTAAAATATAAATGTTGCTGTTGTATTATCATGCTCTAGCAGCATAAAGTGTTTGTGTGACTTAAGCACAAACATTATTGCTAAAATTTGTTTAATGAAGGAAAAAAAAGAAAGTAGAAACCTGAGTTTAAATGATCAAAGCATCTTTGCTTTGATCATAACCACAAATGTATCCCCAAAGTTATTCTGTAACAGTCTCTAATCAAAGATAGCTAAAAGAGATACACGAAAAACACTTCCAAATGTATCTTCTTTAACCTATATTCCAATATTAATGCTGATATCACAAGAATTCCATGGGGGATTCTTGGCTTAATTTCCCACTATTCATATGGAATTCAAAAACTGGAACTAATTAATATAAGCCTACACAAGAACTATTCCAATGTAAGATAAAAGACAAAAACTACATGAAAACATTTAAATACAAAAAATTAACAAAGCATTATATTAGTATTGATGTCATAGGAACATTGAAGATCAAAGATGAGATACTTTACAAAAATTAGATTTTTATGACTTACTTCAGGAAGGTTTATTCACTGAGTGCTATTTCAACTTGGTCAAATATCAATGGATTGTAAATTAGTTGAAAATAAAAGTGCATGAAGCAAAATAAATTTTTAAATAGCAATGGCAAAATATGACAGATCCATCCCCCAAATATGAAGTGGCCAATAAAAAAATGGGTGCATATAAACATGGAATTTATATTTGGAACATTCAAATTATCCTGTAAATTAAAATTATATATATTTTAATTGATTTCTTACATTCCATTTTTAAGGAAGTTTCTGTTGACCTTAGGATAGTTTCACATATAATCAATACATTATAATTTGCCAAAGAAAACACATCATACATGTGATTTACAAGTTCGCAAAGAACTTAAATTTACATTTTGTTAGACATGTATACAACATATAAAATGTGCATATAAAATTTGAATACAAATACAGAAAAATATTTTAATACCTCCTCAGACTAAAAACTTAAAATGCTTAGATTATCTGAGGAGACAAATATATATATAAATACATATATATATATATATATATATAAATACATATATAACATGGAAGTATCTACTGAAAATCAAGTAAATGACTATAGGTTCTTTTTAACTTTGTTATCTAAATATTGGTTATGCATAGCTTGGATAAAGCATCTATTTGTATAAGATATCCAACTAATTGAATATATTTCCTAAATATTGATTCATTTTAAAAATACTAAAAATATGCTTAAAGCAGGTGAAATTATAAGGTGTTATGAGAAGTGAAAGGCCAAAGATCATTAACACAAACATAAATGAGCAGTTCATTTTAAAGTGCAACATGCGCCATGGTTATGGTTTGTATAGATTTCTACTATACCTTTCTTTAGTCCAGGAGTGAAAGCTAAAAAGAGAGTTTAATAAAGTTAAAACACAGGAAATATTTTCACTTATTCCCTCATTCCCCAATAAATGAAAATTATAATTGATTGCAATGCATTCTCACTTTTATCTTGCAAAGTAGGTGATGATTGACAAAGATAAGGCAGAAAACTGATAGCCCATAGAATCTGTCACCTGTAATACACCTTTTCTAAAATCAGACCGTACCAATGTTATATGCTGGCTTCTTGTTCCCCTAAGGGCAATATGTTGTTGAACTAAACATTTTGAGAAGAATACATAGATTTTTCTAGATTCCTTGTCTATGATAGAAAAACATAGTCTTCTATTGAAATTATAATCTTTCTCATGGAATTACTTACACGATACATAATATCTGAGAAGAAACTTTTGATATTACAGGTAACGCTTCTGATATGAAAAAAGGTAATCAGTAAGATCTCAATTAAATAGACACCAACATGATGGCCCATCAGAAGTATTCTTATCATTGTTAAAACACAATTCCTACAATACAGTTATCTTCATAAATAAAATTTCAATTATTATAACAATTAGAATATGGAGTATTAGAGATCATTATCATTACTATCCAGATAAAAAAATTTAGGCATTGCCTTATAAAGTGACTTCCTTCAAAACATTGTGAGATTATTCTTGACTTAGGACAAACACCAAAGTCTACTTTAAAAATAGTTATGCTTATTTGAATGATTGAAATGATGGCCAGGTTTGTACTTTGTAAAAGTCTTAGGCCTGCAATAGAAACTATTTCCTGATATATTTATTAATATACATATAATGTTCAAAATACCACAATTTTGAATTTGAAAGTCAAACCATGTCACACATTTCAGAGGTATCTTTGCAAATTCATCCCTAGCAGTTAGGAAAGTAAGACAATATAAACAACAGGGACTATATCAAACCAAAAACTTTCTGCACAGTGAAGTAGAGCATAGCTAAAACAAAGAGACACCTTACAGAATGGCAGAAAATCTCTGCAAATCATACATATAACAAGGGACAGAGATCAAAGATCTACAACGAGCTTATAAAACTCAACAAAAGGAAAACAAACAGCTCAGTCAAGAAAAAGGAAGAGGATCTAAATAAGTGTTTCTCCATTGAAGATGTACAGATAGCCAATGTGCACATGAAAATGTTCACTATCACATATCACCAGGAAAATGCAAACCACAACCACAATGAGATGCAATCTCACCACAGTGAGAATGGCTCACATCAGAATGAACAGGAACAGCTAAGTGCTGGTGGGGTGTGGAGAAAAAGGAGCTCTCTTACTCTGTTGTTTGGAATGTAGACTGGTCCAACCCCTATGGAAAGCAGTATGGAGGTTTCTCAAATGGTTAAAGATGGATCTGCCATATGACCCAGGAATTCCATTCCTTGATATCTACCCAAAAAATATAAAAACACCAATTCTAAATGAAACCTGCACTCTTGTAGCCATAGCAGCAGTATTTATAATACCCAATATATGGAAGAACCCTAAGTAGCAAAAAAAACAAACAAAAAACACAGATGAGTGAATAAAGATGATGTGGTACATATACACAACGAAATATTACTCACAATCACAAAAGATAATATCTTGCCATTTGCAGCAACATGGATGTAGTTGGAAGAGATAATGTTTAATAAAATAAGTCAGAAGGAAAACAATCAATACCAGATGGAGTCGCTAATATGTGGAATGTAGAGGAATCAAACTAAGAACCAAAGACAACCTTAAAATCTAACCCTTGAAAACTAACTATAAAACTGAAGCATTCTAATGGGGTGAAGGGAGAAGGAACAAAGAGGGAAGAAAGCACAAAGATCTATAGTGGGGCCCTTCCTGGCAGAGTCCCAGGTTAGGACACAGCACTGCAAGCTGGCTGCAGCTGCCTCAGTGCGAGTTCGATCCACTGTCCCGGAGGAGATCCACCTGGCGCGGCAGACCTCTCCTGACCTGCCTGCTGCTGCCTTCAGCAGTGTACTTAATTGATCTGCCTGCTCTCCTCCCCACTCTGTCTCTCACCACCCCTGTACCACTGGCTTGTACCACAGTTCTATAGTTCTATATGAATAAATAAATAAATCTTTTAAAAAAAGAACAATGGTGGTGCACGATGGAAGATTTGTGGTGTGAACCCTGCAAGGTGAGACCTCATGTGGAAAATCCTAATGTTACCAAATTAAAATAATAAATGATTATATTTAGAAAAAAAATCCATTTGAATAGAATAATAATGTATGAAACTAATGACATATTTAGACATAAGGGATACATCAGAAATAGAAAAATGGAGGTGAAAAATAATATTTCTATGCAATGATAGGCATTAATATGAGTACAGTGTCACTGACATATACACAGCAGATTTCTTTTTCCTCTAAATTCTTTCATTTATAAGTAAGATAACTTAATTGAATCATAACTTGATGTACATAAGAAAGTTTAGGTAGTATTAATTTTCTAACTAGTTTAAACGCCCCCCCCACTACTCAATATTTTTAATTCAATGATTTCTCTCTCATACAAAATATATTATTATTGGAATGAACAATCAACTCTTGTAATATTTAGATACAAAGTTTTCAAATATACTGTAGAAAAAGGAAGACTGCTTTAAACAGAGAATTAATAAATTGCTTTTATTATTAAGACTAAAATGTGGCCTAGACATTTTTGTGATCAAAATCCTAATTAGTAACCACAAAAATATAAATGATTCCAGACTTATTTATAAAGATATACAGGTACAGTAGAATGAAGCAAAATGAATGACATCATAATAACAAAAAAGAGAAAAATTCATTTTCAAAACCCATTCTAGGAGACCTTTAACACCTATGCTGAAGAATATAAATTGGTTTATAAACCACCAAAGTCAAACACTCAACAATTTTCCTTAAATTTCAGGACAAGAAAGCATATTCTACACAATATTTTCAAGAGTGACTCTGAAAAGGGACACAGGTTCATCCCATAAAACTTGACCAAAATAGGGAACCATTTCCCCCCTAAAGCAATATCTAAATCTACAAATATGTACACACACATACTACTCTATGTGAACACAGAAATTAATATACTTATTATAATGTCTATCATCAAATGTATCCATAAATGTCAGGCTTCTTCTTAGAGTTTAGAATTATTGCTGATATTTTGTAGCACCCATACAAGATTTTTGCAATATCAAAGTAAGCACAGTCCTTGTCATTTGAGATACTGTAGTCAATTTCAATAGCTGACTAAAAATTTCTTACTAAATAATCCAACTAAATGTTACATTATGGATGGCTATATATATTATTTATGTGTAACTTAAAATGAAATTTTATTAGAATACAAAATGAATACTTCAAACATGTTAAATTTGTATTGCCAAGAACATTGTCAGATTATTAAGTATTCTGAAAGTAATTTTATTACTTAGTAAATTTAAACATGATTAATAGTTCTGTTATCATTATTTCAACTTACACAGATTCAATAATAAAAAAATTTCACATGAGCCTACTTTGAGAAATACTTGACTTTTTATATTCCAAATTAATAACCCAACCAATTAGCAAATTGTCATTTGAGATACTGTAGTCAATTTCAATAGCTGACTAAAAATTCAATAGCTGACTAAAATCTCAGTAAGAACTGAGATTCATGTACTAACTGTTTACATTACAGAAACATGCATTTAAAGTAAAAATGAAAATTTAAATCATAAAAAAATATATCATGAGAACAATAGCAAAACACATTTTAATATTTATTCTAATCTATTTTAATACTTCCTAATAGTTACTAACACAAATATTTAAGAACCCAACCTAACCTAGAAATATTCAGCCAAAAGTGAAGGAATTACTGGTACAAATGCTTGAATAATTTTAGGGATAGGGATCACCAAAGCTTATCACAAAATTGATAATGTTGGCAAAATACTCATTAATCAAATGTCATGCATCAATCTGTGTCATTAGCTTAAAAAGTGTAAGAGGCTTTCTTTTTTCCAAAGAAACATCATTTGTTATTTCTGGTCTTCCCACAGAAGTGAGGCAGTGTTTCATTGTGTGGTTGATTTGAATTTTGCTAAGAATGTAATGATCAACATTTTATTTTATTTTTTTATTTTAAATTTATTTATTTGTGCATACAGAACTGGGGTACGGGCCAGAGGCTCAGGGACGGCAAGAGGCTTCACCAGAGACAGAGTGGGGAACAGAACAGGCAGACTGACGAAGTACACTGCTGAGGGAAGCAGCAGGCGGGTCAGGAGAGGTCTGCCACGTCATGTGGTCACCTCTAGGGCAGGCAGGAATCAAACTCATGCGGAAGTGGCTTTAGATTCTCAGTGCTGTGCTTTAACCTGCTGCGCCACCAGGGAGGGCCATGATCAACATTTTTTATGTGTCCATTGGCCACCTATATGTTTTCTTTAACAAAGTGCCTATTTAGTGCCTCTGTTCAATTTTTATTGGATTATTTTTCACTTGATTGACTGCATCATTGCTTTTTGATCTATGTGCATTGTCAGAGTATGGTGGGAAAATATTCTCTCCACTTCAATAAGCTGTATTTTTATTTTAGTTATTGTTATTTTTGCTGTGTAGAACTTTTTTGATTAGAGGTAGTCCTAGCTATTGATATTCTCTCTTATTTTCCTTGCTGTTGGGGATGATTCACAAAGACATCACTGAAGAATATGTCATAATGTGTGTTGCCTTTGTTTTCATATATGTATTTTATTGTTGTGGCTTTTAAATAAATGTCCCTATCAATTGTTGAGTTTATTTTTATAAATAAAAATAAATTTGTATTGCCAAGAACATTGTCAGATTATTAAGTATTCTGAAAGTAATTTTATTACTTAGTAAATTTAAACATGATTAATAGTTCAGTTATCATTATTTCAACTTACACAGATTCAATAATAAAAAAATCTTGTGTAGCATGCAACTACACGGTTTTCCCAATACAACTTATTGAAG